TTTAGCGTAGACAGCACGAGACCAGACGGAGCGCGGAGCCATAGCGGAGGAGGAAGAGCAGGAGAAGGAGGGGGAGGGGGCGGGTTGTTGTCAACGTGCCGGTTTCCTCAGCCACAACTAGTATTCTCATTAACTAGTCCGTTTAATTATAGCCGGGCGTTAATTTCCTCGCGGTTGCCCGGCTCCGCGCGGCGCCTCGCGAGCCCCGGGAAGAGCAAGGGAGGAGAGGCGGCTGTTCGGGCCGGAGCGGAGTGCAGCAGCAATATAGCCACTTGGGAAATCATAAAAAGTTCATGTTCACGTTAAGCGCGTCCACATGACCAGCCCGTCGGCCAATCCCCGCGCGCGGCCACTCATAAACTTGTATCACAAAGTTGTAAATTTTCATAAAACAACAAGGAATTTATTGCATTTCTTCATGGAGTGCTGTTAGAGGGGAGCTGCTCCTTCTCTTTCTACCATTCTCTCCGCCGCCATTTTCTTCTTCTTCTGCCCCTCTTAAGAACAACAAGCAAGCAGCTCTCACAGCACTGAGAAGGAGCTGAGTATTTGGTTCTGTTTTCTTCCTTTTATCCCTTTAAAAACTATGTGTTTGTGCTGTGTTGGTTCGTGCGCCATACACTGCTTTATTTATCTACTGATGTTGGGTATGTGAATGAACCACATCAGAGATTTGTTCAGAATGATAAATTGTATTCAAATGCATTTTTATCAACAGTAAAATCCAAAGTTTAAACAAATAACTCACGTGATATAAAGGACAGATAGTCAGATAGGACATTATAACAAAAGGTGTCACAGCTTGGCAGGGCGAATGGAGAATACACATTGCACCATGTCCACTTTTGTTTAATCACCTTTATGTAACATTTCGGTGTGAGAGTGAGTAAACATCAGCAGTGTTTCATCAGACGGCCAAAGCCAACAGACAGATGCAGCAAAAATAAAATGGTGAAGCCTGGCTGTCTGGGTGGCTGCACCATAACGCACGAAAACAACGGCGATCACTGCTGTGTTGGCAAAATATCATTTTCACGGTAACATGAGATTCTCATTAACCACCTATGTTTATATGAAGACTTATTATTTTAATAAATTATTGGTAAGCTCCAGAGGGAAGGAGCTAAATTTATGACGCGGGCGCCCATGCTCCCTGTTTGTATCTACCAAGCTGCAGGGGGTGAAGCTGTGCACCGTTGTAAGTGAGCTAGGTGAATTTTGGCCCCATGGCGATTTGCAGGCTCAACAACAGCACCACCTGAGTGGTGGTGTGGGCCTGAAAAGCCGTGCGTACAAGCGGTTTCGCAATGCGGCAACGCGTCACAGTTTTAACGGCCTGCAGGCCCGGAGCCGCAGGATGCTCAGAGACGAAAACACACCGCAGTGATTTTTTTTTGCCCCAAATCTTGTTTTACGACTGTGAAAAGCAGCCGGATGCGGTCAGAGGACGCATTTGCTTCAAAGGAGAGATGAGAGCACACATCTGAATAGCCAGAAGCTAAATTTTAATGACTAATATTTGAAGGGGGATCGGTTTCCTCTGCTGGACTCACGAGTTAAATACTTGAATACATTTGTTTATTACATCTTCCCCCATTGCTAACATGCCTCGGTTAATGGGCGACTGAAGACACTTTTTCAATACTATTCATTCAGTCTGCACAACCAACATGCATCTTGGTCAGACGGTTTATCTCACCTCCAAAACTCACTTAAACCACCAAAACAATTCACACATGTCGCAAAATAAGCTATTTCTACCACAACACTGGAAACTGTTTAACTCAGAAAGCATACACACTGAACCAAAAAATATCAACTGTGAGCTATACAGAAATGACCAACTTCTATCTTTAAAGCTTGAATGATTTTTCACATAAAGCGGTGTTTAGAAATAGCACATTTTCACTTTATGGACTGAAGTATATATATTTAACAAGAACGAATCAGAAACGCAGCAATTCGCTGCAACAGTCATCAGTCTGTATTTATCTTTGCATATAGGGAAAAACAAAAGAGTTGAGACAAAAATCAAAATCCAGAATCCCATAAAACCCCATCGACAACATGTAGTCAATAGTATAATCACCCAGACTGTGCAGTACTGCGAGGGTTCCATTCCTCCCTTTCTCCTGCATTTGGCCACGATTTCTCACCTAAATCACATCTTGTGTCTCCACCTGCGATGGAAGGATTATTATTATTTTATTATTATTATTATTTTAAATATTTAGTTAATATTTCTATATATATCAACATGGCTACTGCAACGGGCATTTGCCATCGTTTTGTTTTGAATGTGTTTGTAACAGTATCAAAAATCAGTGTGAAAGCATTTGAAAAATCTGCTGCAAATATTTGTTGCTATGCGTCAGAAAAGAGTTCATGGATTTTGGAATGTGTGGTCATTAAATGTATTTTGTGTGAACGCAATAAAAGAACAATTCACAGTTTGGTCCACATAGACTTCTGTTTCACTGACTGTGTGAAAAGTTTCGTCAATGTGAAATCAGTTTTGACCAATCCATGTTAGCAATCGTAAAAAGAAAACTGTATTATTGTCCTTCCACAGGAACCTGAGGCCAAACGCCTCCTGAATTTTAAAGAAGCTACAGATGCCACCGCCTTCTTGCAGCACAATTCCATAAACAATTCGTGTTTATGCTACAATAAGAGCGCGTCGTTCAGAATTCGTCCAAAGAGATATTTTCACAGCTATATTGTTTTTTTTTTTCTCAGAAATGCTGGGATGCCAAATCCAAAACATAAGCCAATTAAAATGCTGCAGAAGATCCAGTTTCGCCACCGAGGAGACCCACATACCACTGCAATGCACCGGGTCAGCTGGTTCCTGTGTTACCTGGTTCCTTCAGTCCCCGCGCATTACTGTCTCCTTCTCTCAGTAAAGCAATGTACAGTTACAGATTGGAAATTAGTGAAATAATCTACCCAAACTGCTCACGACAGGACTAGAGAAAAGACACTGGCACATTCGTGACTAAACTAACGCAAGGCAGTCAAAATCACTGTTCAGCGCAGACAGACTTCACATTCAGAACTCATCGAATTTAAACCCAGGAAACTTGATGAAACCTTCAGTGACCCACATGTGACCTTTCCGGACTGCACGTTGTCTGGTTCGCAGGAGACGCGGATCCATCGCTTCCTATATTTAAATGTCCCGAGTTAAAAATTAACAGAAACCAAAGCAGCAGCACAGGAGGAACTTTCTGTTGGTTTCTTTGTGTGTGTGTTGCTTTTATTGGGGTTTCCGGCCTTTTCATGGACGTAATAAAGACATCAGGACCTGCTATAACATCCCCCCACACACCACCGCCTTCCACCAGTTTATGTGGTCTTTTTGGTTTCTACAGGAGGCCGAGGACTTCCAGAGGCAACCCTGAGACATTTCGTTTGGATTTGGTGAGAGCTTTTGCAGCTCAAATGGAGCAGACCTGCATCTTTCAGCACGCAGAGCTTCCTCAGGTAAAACGCAGGGAAACTGCCCGCAGCTCGGGAGTTTGTAATGAAGGAGCTGGGAGGTGTGAAGGTGTCTGTCGGTCTGGAGATAGTAGCCTACAGTAGGCTACTTGGTTTAAAGCACAGGAAGAGAGGGATCTTCAAAGATAATGAATGAATCAATGAAATGTTAAAAATTTCCTTCACTAGAGGTCAGGTAACCTTCTGTTTTTTTAAATTTATGTATTTATTGTTTCCACAGGAACATTTCATTAAACGAGACTTCGTTCTCTGACAGAAATCAGTTCCTTTACCTTATCTCCACCAGGTTGGCCAGGAGAACATTTTCAGACTATACTGATTTATATTTTTCTGTATCAATTATGAAATCGGTGATAGAAAACAAAATGTCATGTGCTGGTTCAGTTCAGAGCAGTGGAGTAATATGCCAGTGTACTAACTTATGAAATTTGGCATTATATCCATTTTGTGTAACCTATTCAGACACTTAAGCCCAGATATAGCATTTTATTTACGCAGTCTTCGTCACAACATGTTCATCGCTCGATTATTTCACAACGCGCTACCTGACGAAATAAATACAGACACGTATATGAGAGAAAATAAAAAAAATAACGTAACGTGTAATCAGTCCAACAAAAACATGTTTTGGTATGTTTAACCGCATCTCATTGTCGTCATTGTGAGCTTTCATTTAAAAATAATAATATAAGTATCCATATTCTTATGAATTGAGTATCAGATAAAATGATTAAATGATTATACATTCATTTTCATTTTTCACTGTTAAACATTTAGTCACCCACCCATGTGATGTACATGTTAAACAGTCTGCAGTGCAGCTGGAATATTTAATCCAAAACTCGCAGATGAGATCTTGTTTATAATTTATAGGTCATATATGTAGTTTTTAGTTTTTATTTATTTATTTTAAGGTGGGGATTGGAGCCCAAGCTCTGAGTGCATCACTGCTAAATAAGGCTCCAAGTGTAAATACTGGAACTTTGAATGTTATCTTGCCATTATCTGTAACAGTGGGGGGTAAAAGCCTGTTAATATATTCAAACCTGTAAACAAGGTGAGGATGTTTCAAGAGCACATTGGCACTCATTACTGTGGTTTATAATCTGTGAAACTCATGATTACACTCTCAAGTCAAAGTGAGGATGGTTAGAACTTAATAATGCTCCTGCTGCAGTCTGTGTGTGTGTGTGTGTGTGTGTGTGTGTGTGTGTGTTTGCAAAAGTCTCCTTTCTGATGGGAGAGCACTTCAGTAGAATCTGGCATATCAAGTAACAAAACATTTTAAATTATGAACAGAAACCGTTGGAGTTCAGAGTGTCAAACTTGTCAGAAAGGTCCACATGTGGACATTTCAATTTAAGTTGGACATTACATTGTTTTTTTTATTGTTTTTGTTCTCCAACATGTGCAACACAAATAACATTTATATGTAAAACACACAACATTTTTGGAAGTTGCTTTGGCATTTTTTAACAGGCATATTTACATGTAAAAATCAAACATTTGTCACAAATTTTATTCACATTTGTATTTGTACGTGTGATTTATTTGTATATCTATATAAATGTACTCTGGTCAGAGAGGGTGATCCAAACTGAGATATCCCACATCTGTTGGATATGTCATGAATAAAATGTATGCCACATCTATTCTAGGAATTTGACAATAATCCAAACATGAATTTGCTGTTTTGCCTCATTCTTTCCCACACTGGCTGAAAGATGGAAACTAAAGTGGAGCATTGCCAGATTAACTAAGTGCTCCTATAGTTATTGTCTCAGACATTTAATGATGACTTGTCCTAAACTGTCTATATTCTTTTTTTTTTTTTTAAGTGGTTGTAGTCTTATTATTTCTATGTTTTATTTTCCAACAAAACTATGAAGATCCTAAAGCTGCTATCTAAAAATATTCCATGAAAGGGATACGAACAGACAAAACACATTCCAGTTAAAGTTTCTTTTTTATTATTATTTACATGTGCATTATAATGTGAACATGTACTGTGTCTAAGGCAACATGAAAACACAGGAGCAAATAAAGAAACTAAAGACAAATAGCACTTATTTAAGCATATAATTATTCCAAGAGAAAGCTAGAATACAAAAGCTAGACCTCATGTACAAACAAACACACAACAAGCAAGAAGTCCTTGGCTGACTATTGTCAACCATTCCCCTCCATTTAACTCAGTGTACTCTCTTGCACACAATGTTTATCTTTGAGTAAGCGTTTTCACTGAATATAAACAAACAGAGACATGATCAAACCCAAATTCTTGCTTAAAACACTGAGACAACCTGGTGACAGTCAGCGCTGTAGCGACTATTGAGCACACAGAGGTCATATTTTCAGGCTGATTTAGATATTTGTGTGATGTAAGGAATAAAATTAAATAAATGAGGAGGGGTTTTTCACAAAAATTATACACCACGACATGTAAAAACCCATTCAGAATATAATGAAGGTCGTATTTACAGAAAATACAATAGAATTATTCAATTAATGATAAAAAAAAAGTGACAATCTGTGATTGCTTTGAATACTGAGTGGAGCACAGTGGTGATATTCCAATAGGCTTAACCCTAAAATCAAGTGATTCCACACTGCTACTGTAGGCATGGCTAACACTGATGTTCAGCTTTGTACCCACAGGAACCAGAAGTGCTGCTGTTTCATTCTATTCTGTCCCCCACTGCTGCAGATCAGATGGGTGCGGTGTTATCACGTCATAAGGGACACTACTGTATGAGGACCTCCAGCCTTCAACAAGAGAGGAAGGGTTATGTGGTGCAATAGAGCGGGGTCTTTAAGACGAACCTAATACTTCATATCAGCATCAATACATTTAAGTTATTTCTATTTTATTAATGGAAAAAATAGAAATTTATTTAAAGCAGAAGCCTGACTTCTGTCCGTGTTCTGATAAGGAGCTAAACACTAGCTTTATGAGCAACTCTAAAATCTGTTGTTTACATGGTGGAAGTTGGTGGTTTAACCACTTGAGCTAATCTACTTTTCGTTAGCCTGAGCTAAATGTATCTAACTGTAAACTCTACAGTGAAATAATGAGATTGGTGTAAGTTGCGCAAAGATTGCTCATAACAATGCCTGTAATTTAAAATGTTTCTTTGCAGGATGATGACCTGACTGCAAGGCAAAAATCACTTCTTTATTTCTTTTATCTCTACATCACTATAGTAAAAATGTAATTCGAGAAATAAGAGTTGAAAAAGCAGCTGTAAGCTTAAAGTGTCCAATCGAGTCATCACTCCTCCTCCTCCTCCTCCTCCTCTTCCTCTTCTTCTTCATATTCAGCCGTCGGTAAACCAGCTGTTGGAGAGCCGCTCTCCTTGTTCTCCTTCTTCCACTTCATCCTCCGGTTCTGGAACCAGATCTTGATCTGCCGCTCCGTGAGGCAGAGCGCGTGCGCGACCTCTATCCTCCGCCGCCGCGTGAGGTACCGGTTGAAGTGGAACTCCTTCTCCAGCTCGAGCGTCTGGTGACGCGTGTACGTCTGCCGCCCGCGCCTCCTGTCTGCACCTGCACAGACAAGAACACATCTGTCTCCCTGCTCAGATAAAGTCATGTGTTACAGAGTAATCATGAATTTTGTAGGCTAACTAGAAACTAGAAATTTCGTTTGGGTGAAATAAAGAAAATTTCACAAATATCTAAGCTTTGACTTATCTATGCTTCAATATATATATAATTTATATATATATACATTTCTTATATAATTCTGACTTGCTTTAGCTTGGTTAAGGTTATGTTCAGTATTTTGGTTCAAGATACATCATTTTTGTTCTAAAGATAAAAGAAATGATAGCTATGACAAAAAAATGTCCATGTTAAGTATAATTTTAAGTCAAATTTCTTATATAATAAGTTTAAAGGTGTGACTCACTGAGTAAAAAATAATAAGATAATAAAATGCAGTCATCACTCAGCAGAATCAGGTGCCTTTCAGCTTCAGGGCAGAAAACTTGCACAGGACAAAAAGGGACTGGAGCACAGTGATTCATTTAATTTGCAGTTTGCACTATAAAAGGCTACAACTGAATTTATGTGTCTTTTTTTCCTTGATATTGACATAGCATTTTGACTTTTAACTTAAAGGTTTAATAAGTAATAGAAATTACAGCTGTTTACGGGAAACTTTGCTGCCACTAATGGATTATTTGACTTACATGCTACTATTGAAACAATCCATCATTAAAGGTTTACTTTGACTCTGTAGTTAATGGCAGATTTCATTACATTAATATAT